ATACGATATATACAGTTATACAGTTATATAACACATTATACGATATATGCAGTTATACAGTTACATAACACATCATACGTTATATACAGTTATACAAAAATAGAACACATCATGCGTTATATACAGTTATACAGATATATAACACATCATACGTTATATCAGTTGTACAGATGTATAACACATCATACGTTATTTACAGTTGTACAGTAATATAACACATCATACGTTATATACAGTTATACAGTTATATAACACAACAAACGCTATACAGTTATTCAGTTATATAACACATCATACGCTATATACAGTTATACAGTTATATAACACATCATACGTTATATACAGTTGTACAGTTATACAGTTATATAACACATCATACGACATATGCAGTTATACAGTTACATAACACATCATACGTTATATACAGTTATACAAATATAGAATACATCATACGCTATATACAGTTATACAGTTATATAGCAAATCATACGTTATATACAATTATACAGATACATAACACATCAAACGTTATTTACAGTTGTACAGTTATATAACACATTATACGTTATATACAGTTGTACAGTTATATAACACATCATACGATATATACAGTTATACAGTTATATAACACATCATACGTTATATCAGTTATACAGATGTATAACACATCATACGTTATATACAGTTGTACAGTTACATAACACATCATACGTTATACACAGTTGTATAGTTATATACAGTTATACAAATATAGAACACATCATACGTTATATACAGTTTATTCAGTTATATAACACATCATACGATATATACAGTTATACAGTTATATACAACATCATACGTTATATTCAGTTATACAGTTATATAACACAACAAACGCTATACAGTTATACAGTTATAACACATCATACGTTATATGCACTTATACAGTTACATAACACATCATACGTTATATACAGTTATACAAATATATAATACATCATACGTTATATACAGTTATACAGTTATATAACACATCATACGTTATTTACAGTTGTACAGTTATATAACACATTATACGTTTTATACACTTGTACAGTTATATAACACATCATACGTTATATACAGTGATACAGTTATATAACACATCATACGTTATACGTTATTTACAGTTGTACAGTTATATAACACATCATACGTTATATACAGTAATACAGATATATAACACATCATACTTTATATACAGTTATACACAGTTATATAACGCATGATACGTTAGATACAGTTATACAGTTATATAACACATGATACGTTAAATACAGCTATACAGTTATACTATAACACATCATACGTTATATACAATTATACTGCTATATAACACATCACACGTTATATACAATTATACAGTTATATACCACATCATACGTTGTATACAGTTATTCACAGTTATGTAACACATCATACGTTATATACAGTTATACAGTTATATAACACATCATACGTTATATACAGTAATACAGTTACACAACACATCGTACTTTATATACAGTAATACAGTTATATAGCACATCATACTTTATATACAGTAATACAGTTATATAACACATCATACGTTATATACAGTAATACAGTTATATAACACATCATACGTTATATACAGTAATACAGATAAATAACACATCATACTTTATATAGAGTTATACAGTTATATAACACATCATACGTTATATACAGTAATACAGTTATATAGCACATCATACGTTATATACAGTTATACAGATACATAACACATCATACTTTATATACAGTTATACAGTTATTGTTGCCTTACAGCGTCGTGTTTCTATGTATATGAAGCGCGCCTATCCAGTACGTAAGTAAGTTTACCCACATCCTCACTCGCTCTCCACTATTAGACACACACACACACACACACACACACACACTACTACACACTACTACTACACACAACAACACTACTACACTACTACACACACACACACACACACACACACACACACACACACACACACACACGTACGTACACACATACACACACACATACACACACACACACACACTCAGATAGAGAGAAAGAGAGCAATTGGGCGCCACCTACTTGCAGCTGTGAGACCAGACATGTAGCTGGTGGAGGTGGGTAGCTCATCGGACACTGGCTCTGGCGGCAGCAGCTTCACTTCGTAGTAGTACGTTCCCCTGCGCACACAGTGTGTTGCCATGGCCAGGCAGTAACCTCGGGCACCCGTGACAGACAGTCGGTCGTCTGAGAGCTGCGTGGGCATGTAGGTAAGAAGGTAGGTTGGTAGGTGGTGTGGATAAACCAGGTTTCTCCATGCACCATATGAGTGAGGTTGTGTGCACGAATGCGGTGGGCAGGGAGTGGCCGCTGGCGCCCGTTAAAACTAATCGGTCCTCTGAGAGCTCATCTAGGTGAGTGTTTAGAAAGAAGTTCAAAAACAAAAAAAGAACATTTTATTTTGCTGTGACAGAATAAACGAGGTTTACACATCGTGCCAAATAAACGAGGTTTGAGAGTCTATTTATAGATAGGGATGTGTATGCAGCACTCTTTACTCCAGACTACGTACCTTCAACTGACGTGCGCGTTTCTGGTGTGACAGCACCACCTCTTCGCTGAGTAAACAGGGGCGGAAGGTGTCCCGACCCTTTCTAAAAGGGTCGGGTTCAGCGTCGATGTATCTGTGGCAAAAGAAGACGAGAAACGGAATCAGGAAGAGGTTTAAATATTCGATTTTGGAGACAAAAAAAATGGCGCTATCCGCGGATATCGGGTTGCGTGCTCTCAATGTCTGCGGTAAAAAATAAGATGACTCACGGTTGTGGCTATGTGACTATGACTCTCGCATATGCAAGGTAAGACGTAGACGGGACATCTCTTGCAATCGCCTCTAATTCATTTGCACAATACTTCAAACGTCTCTACGTAAATGGCGCTATGGCTGCAGTACCGTATAAGTATGTAGTATAAGTATGTAGTATAAGTATGTAGTGTGAGTATGTAGTATAAGTATGTACTATAAGTATGTAGTATAAGTATGTAGTATAAGTATGTAGTTTAAGTATGTAGCATAAGTATGTAGTATAAGTATGTAGCATAAGTATGTAGTATAAGTATGTAGTATAAGTATGTAGTATAAGTATGTAGTATAGTTATGTAGTATAAGTATGTAGTATAAGTATGTAGTATAAGTATGTAGTATAAGTATGTATTACTAGTATGTAGTATACAAAACATAGAGGCAGAATACACGAAGGTGGTGTAAACACGGTGTACGTAACGCACACTTCAAACTTGTAAAAGTATGTACAAACACCCTTTGCATAAAATGAGAAGAATAGTTTATGTTAATAGACACAATACTACGCCTATACCACAGTAGTGTAGATATAGCGTCTTCTCAATAATAAGCATTTCGTATATAAATATATATATATGC